GCGGGGCTCAGGACTGAGGCGCAGCGCCCGCTCGGACGGCGCGCGGCCGCGGGCTGCTTTGCATCTTATTTGCATACCGAGCGGTCCGCCCGGCGTCGGCGCGCCCCCACCCCCGCGGAGACCCCGCCGGGCCCGCTCCGCCGACCCCCTCCTGCGCGCACCCCTCTCGCTAGCCCCCTGCCAAGGCCCGACTGGCTTCGCGGGTTTTTCCACCCATGAACCCCTCACCGGCGCCCCCAGACCAGTAAAAGCCCCTTCCCCGGGTCCCCGATCCCGACCACCGGGTTCTCCAGAAGACAATACTCCAATTCTCTGGGAAGTGGAAGAAACCAAGCCGGAGCCGGGGGGCGCTGGGACCCCAGTTGGGGCTCTGAGAGCCCGGGGTGGTCGAGTGGCCTCCCGAGCCCTCGGAGACCGTTCCCCAGCCTTCCAGCAGTGACGCCAAAGCCCTGCCCCGCTGTAGTCGGGGGTTCTCCGGCCCCAGCCTCGAGCCGTGGGCAAACTGGGTCCCCCCACACACAAGGGGAAGGGTTGGAGGGGCCCGCCCCGTGATGTCACCCCCCTCCCACCCTGTCCCCTTCCTCCGCCACCCCCTCCCATTCCAAACTGGTTGCTTTTAGTTCCCGGGCCCGGACTACGACTTGCAAGAGTTTAAGGGGCAGCTGAGCCGAGCGGCCCGGGGGTGCCCACCCCCCACCAGCGCCGCCAGCGCCCCGCCGCCTCGGGCCCCGGGCAGGGGTGCAGCTGGGGGGTCTAGGGAGGCTCTCCAGCCCCTTCCTCTCCTCAGCCTGGCAGGGTGGTGAGTAGTTAACACCCCCTCCCCAACCTCTCCTTTAGGATCCCCAGATTTACCAGCCAACTCCCCAAGCCAGCCCTTCTGCCTCGAGGTCCAAAGAAAGACAGACGGCAAAGCAAAGTGCCCGCTCCGGTCGGGGCAGCGCCAACTTGGGGTTCTCCTCCCTTCTGGAACTGCATGCGAGCCCCACGGCAGCCCTGGCAGCCCTGACGCCAGGGAGAGGGAGGGCTGGGAGCGCAGGAGCGCTGCGCTGAGCAGGGAAGAGGCCACGGGACGAGGGACAGGGCAGGGAGCAGGCTGGCGGCCCTCCCCCGTGACTCGACTCCACACGGAGCTGATAAAGTCTGGGCGTCTGTCTCTCCATGACTCCCGCTCCCAAACTCTTGGTCTTTTGCCCTCTCCCTTCCTGGGGTGGGAGCAGCTGGGTCAGCAGGGCCCCCCTGCGCACTCTCCCCCCTCCGTTAGCCCCACCCTGCCCAGTCCAGGGCCTTAGGGTTGCGTTCTGGCTGCAGATGGGCAAACTTGGGGGTTGAAACAGGCTGCTGGACCTTTGCCCACCTGTTGCCCGGAGCCCTGGGCCTCTCCCCTTCCACCCCGACTTCCTGCTCCTCCCACCCCACCCCACCCTGGAAACTGGGAAGCTAAGGCCGGTTGCCTTTTATTCCACTGAAATGAGAGTTTCATTTCCTTGAGTCCTTCGGTCCACTGAAATGAGAGTTTCATTTCCTCGAGTCCTTCTGTCAGGAGGTGGTAGAGAGACCCCCAGCCCTGTAGATCTCTAGTGACTTCAGCAGGCCAACCCCTGAAAGTGGCCTCTTCCAGAGAAACTGGAGGGGGGAGTCCTCAGGATGCATGAGCACCCCTGCCCTTTGCAGGGTTCCCAGGGCTTCATGGACGGATGAGAGGAGCGACACTGACTCGCCCCTGACCGCCTTCTCATCAGCCATGGAGGAAGTCTTGCTGCCCCTGGCCCTCACCTCTGACCCTAGGCTGTTTAATCAGCAACTCCCAGAGGCTCCAGACCCAAGATGTGTCCTGGAACCCCAGGACGATCCTCAGCTGACCCCCGCCCTGGTGTGTGCCCTCTGCTGCTGCTTCGGGATCATCTACTGCTGCTTTGGTGAGGGCAGGGCCAGGGGCCCCGGGGGCAGTGGCCCAAAACTGTCACCCTCGAGAATGAGGCCAACCCCCTCTCCGTGGCTCCTGGACTGCCCCTGCTCTGCGGGGTCCCCGCCTCAGGTGGCCCCACTGCTCTTCCCAGCCCTTCAGATCCACTCCCACGCCACACTCTCCCGCTCTGGCCGGATCCCGGGAACGCCTCCCGCCTCGCTGCCCCCTGCCTCGGCTCTCCATGCCCAGATGAGCCTCCACGCTTGCGCTCTTACCCCTGTCCAGCAACCCGAAACGGCCTGTCCTGCTTTCTTCACATCTGCCCTGCAAGCACTGAACCTTCCCTCTAAACTTGCTCCCCTCAAAGCGTCTATCTCACCTCTGGATTTTCCCCCCCACCCCCCACAATTCCTGGAAAGTGCCCGCCCTCCCTGTGAGTGTTCCTTTCAGCCCCCCACTTGGGTCCTTTGGTCCTTTGGAACGCTGCTTCTGTCTCCTGCCCTCTGGTCAGCGTCCTCTCCCTTCTGCTTCATGAGAACGTCCCCGGAGGCCGCTTTGTGTCTCTCAGAACCTCCCGCCTCCCTCCCCAGGCTACCGCTGCTTCAAGGCCGTGATGTTTCTCTCTGGCCTGCTGTCAGGAGCTCTGGTGATTTTCCTGCTGTGCCACAAGGAGCGGGTGCTAGAGACACAGCTGAGCCTGGAGGTGAGCGCGGGCATTGCGCTGGGCATCGGACTCCTCTGCGGCCTGGTCACCATGCTGGTTCGCAGCGTCGGGCTCTTCCTGACTGGCCTCCTGCTAGGCCTGACCCTGGGTGCTGGGGCCCTGCTGGGCAGCGAGCCCGTCTACCAGCCACCTTCAGCCTGGGTGCCGGCCGGGGGGCTGGTGGGGCTGGCGCTGCTGGGTGCCCTACTCACACTCCGGTGGCCACGGCCATTCACAGTCCTGGGCACAGCCCTGCTGGGTGCCGCGGTGCTGGTGGCCTGTGCTGACTACTTCTTGGAGGGACTGGCACTGGGCAGCCGGCTGGGCCAGCGCCTACAGGCACTCCCAGCCTCGCCTCCTCTCTGCTGGTATAGCTGGGTCTTGCTGGGGACCTGGCCGGCCCTGGGGGCCCTGGGGGCCCTGGCCCAGTGGAAGCTCATGGATGAAGAACACGGAGGCCACGCCAATGGTGAGTGAATGCGTGGTACCGAAGCAGTCAGCCCGTGCCTTCCTGCGCCACTGTTCCAGACTTGAGGACTGGAAGGGGGAATACACGAGAGAGGAGGGTGGCGTGACTGAGGTGCATGGGGAAGGACTTTGAAAGATCTAGAGGCGGAGGAACAAAGGGACGTCCGAGAAGAGTGAGGTGAGAAGTAGGCAGGGCCAAGAGTTCTCAGAAACGGACAGCGCAGAAATGGCTAAGCGGGAAGAGTAGGATTCCAAAGAAGAGTTTCATTTAAGGGGGGTGGGAGGAATGGGAGCCCCTACCAGGGAGATCGCTAGGTTCCTCTGGAGTGTGAGTGTTGGGGTGGGGCCCAGGGTCTAAAGAGGCCTCCCTGATCTGTGTCGCCCCCCCCCCCCCCAGCAGTGCTCTTGAGCCGCCAGCGAAGGCATCTCCAGCTCCTTCGGATCCGTCAGCAACAGGCCAAGTGGCACCGGACCTCTTCTGGGGTGGGGCTCTGTGAGGGCAGCTACCAGGGCTACCCCAGCGCCCCCCGGAGCCCCGCTGACAGCCTGGCCCCCGTGAGTGGGGGTGGCAGGGCCCTCTGCGGGGCAGAGCCCAGGGCGGATGGGAACGGCCAGATGGGCATGGCCCTGACCCAGCCCTTCCTTCCGCCTCTGTCCCATGCCCCTCCAGAGTTACCTCCAGAGCCTTCAAGAGCGCCAGCGGGGACCAGGCCCCCAGGCCACGGCCCCCCACACCATCCTGGACTTGGATTCCGACTGTGGTTCCACCGTGCCCCTCACCAGACCCTCTGTGTCCCCCCAGACCTGAGCCTAAGCCCCCACTGATGCCCACCCCTAGCGAGGGCCTGGAGCCCGACTAGGTGCACAGGGCCAGGCCCCTCTTGGACTTGGGGGTGGAGTCCGTGCTGCAGCCACACTGGCCTTGTAGGGCTGCGTTTCAGGGACAGCGAGAGGAAGCCCGCGGGGAGGGAGGAGGACGGGATCGTGAACACGCACCTCTGTGCCGTCGTGGCGCCCTGGTCCCCAAAATAACGGGCTCCCTGATGCCTTCCAAACCGAGGAGGACTTGACCTGCCTCGCCTGTTAGCGTGCCTCGCAGGAGCCAAGCATGGGGTTGGGTGTTTAGAGGACCGGGGGGCTCTCGGGAGGCCCCCACACGCTTGGTAGCTGTTCCCCTTCTCTTTCTAATCGTAGTCCTTTTATTGCAGTAATGCTGGCTGACAGCGCCGCGTGAGGTTCAGAGGTGCAGATTCACTCCTCAGACGTATGCGGCCGTAGCACACTGCCACCAGGGCATCCGGAGTCCCTGCCTGACTCCTGTGGGCCCCTCCCCTCAAGCACCTGATAACTGTTTGAGGGACAGGAGGGCAGCGTGTCGCTTGGGACCCCCCCAGCCCCAGCCCTGCACTGCAGGGAGTGGGGTTCCTGGTAGCCTTTCCGTTTGGGCTCCTTAGAGTCAGGTTTCCTGCTGCTACCTCAGCCGGGGGCGCTGTCTCCTATGGTGCTTCCTTCTCACGGTGCCAGCCTCAGCACCCACCTCCCCGCAAACCTGGCTCTTTGCTCCACGGAGAGCATTGGCCTCCAGGCCAGCGTCTTGCCTCTTGCCCAGAGGGGTCTGATCTTCAGGGCCGTGTGAGCGAGAGGTGCCTGGTGGGCGTCTCGGTGGCGCTCACCTCCTGCACCAGAACCTTGTCCCGACTAACGTTCTAACAGCCTCCCTCCAACCTTCCCGCCAGGGTCTGTCCCCTGGTTCCTGGACAGCGTGCAGGATGACATAGCTCCCCACGCCCCCGGTGGCAGGGCCAAGAAGGAAGGAAGATGGCAGGAAATGGGAATAAAATGGCATTGGACACTGAACCTGTGCGTCTGGCCTCTGCTGTTACTGCGTCCCAAGACAAAAAGTCAACCGTGCCGGCCAGCGCTTGGTGCCCTAGCAGCTGAGGCAGGTTCCCTCATCGGAACGGACTGTGGTAGGAGCGAGACCCACACACAGCCAGAGGCGAGCTGTGTAGGGCCCTTAGGATCATGGGGTAAGCAGAGGGTGCCGCCCACTGTCCCCGTACCACGCTGCACATACGGTATTTCATTTCCTGCAACAAGCCACAGGCTTGACATTAACCTTATTTTGCAAACGGGGAGTCCGAGACGCAGTGAGGTTAATGAGCTTGCCCAAAGTCATAAGCAGGTGAATCTGATTCTCAAGGGTTCTAAAACCTTCTGCTCGTTTTAGTGGCCACGCTGCTTCCATCACGCGTCATCTAGGAAAACAGGACCCAGGCGTCCTGCTTCCTGGCTGTTACTTCCTATCAGCTGAAGGCTTGACGGTGCCTTCCCTCAACCAGTGTCCTCCAGAGAGCAGATGAAATCGTTAGAAGTGCTGTCTGTGGCCGGGAAGAGACAGTTGGGAGCTGACCCAGGGTGAGGGGCCACCGACGGATGAAAACACAGGGCGGGTGGCTTCAGTGGGGACGCGGAGCCTGAGGCCCTGGCTCGTGTCCCTCGTGCAGCCTGTGCAGAGTCCTGCGTGCCGACCTCTGATTCAGCTCATGGGCGCCTGGGAGGGTGATGTCACCAGGGGCCAGAGGGCTGGCGGAGCCCTGGTCTGAGGGGCAGTTGGGTCGCACCCAAGTTGGTGTCTGTGGGCAGACGGTCAGCGTGCCAGGTGGTGTTCAAGGCCAAGGGGGTTGTGTACAAGGTGGTTGCCCGGGCTGAGTGGGCAGTGCCCGTGGGTGGGGGGGTGCCATCCCCACCTGATGGGGTGTTGTCTTGGGTCTGGGGACGGCAGTGCATCCAGACGTGGGCCGTGTCTCTGGGATAGCCTTTCTCTACTCGGAGCTGCCGGTTGAGGGACCAGTACTGTTTACCCTTGAAGAAGTAGACGCGGCCATCCCGCCAGCTCATGGCAGCGGAGGGCCGGTCTGGCACGCCTGTAAACAACCTCTTGGTTGGTTTGGGATAGTGGCTGAAGTCAGTGTGGGCCAGCTCATCCCACTGCCAGTATCCGGAGCCCTAGATGTGGTGGGGGGGGACAGAGTGAAGAAGAGGGTGAGGAGAGTCCTCTCTGGTGGCGCAAGGGGTTAAGTCTAGCACTGTGAAGCTCTCTCCAACCACTGCAGCGCAAGTTCAATCCCCGGCCAGGGAGTGACCCACATGGTATGGCAAATCTCTCCCATCCCCCCGCTGCTCCCCTCAGCAGTGTGTTTCAGTGGGACCCACCCATTATGCTCCCCACTGTCTCTGGTGAGTCCTCTCACCCCCCACACCTCTGGTCTGTACCCTAGCTTACAGGCATAAATAAATCTTTTAAAAAAACTTATACACTATGGAATATTACTCAGCAATCAAAAGAGAGAAACTCATGCCATTTGTGGCCACATGGATGGAACTGGAAAAGACCATGCTTAGTGAAATAAGCTAGAAAGGGAAAGAAAAATACTGGATGGTTTCACTCATAACAGGAGTGTAAGGATCAGAAAAAAAAAAAAGCGATTGCAATATAAAGCAAAAACGAAAGTCAACAAGCAACAATAACCCAGAGACATTCTGCAAGGATAGAGGGGAGGGACCCAAGCGGGCGGGAAGAGCGCTCAGGACTAGGGGGTGGCACGCGGGGCTGCAAACCAGATGCAAAGATGTAGAGAAGGAAGAATAACGTAAAATACATAAAAAACAAAAGCAAGCAAAGGAGAGCGGTGTTTGCTCTGCAGTGGGCGGGCGGGGCTCGCCCTCCTTGGCTTCCTACCTTGAAGAGGAACACCTTCTGGTTGTGAGGCCAGTAGAGTGCCGCGTCCAGGTGAGGCTCCACCCTGTACAGCCTTTTGGGGAAGCCGGGGGACATCTTGAAGTTAATGTAGCGCCACACTCTGTCTCCTGAGAGCAGGAGGAAAGAACCGTCACCTGGGCGGGCTCCCTTGCACCCTGCACGCGTCTGTCTGTCTGTGTGTCTCTCCTCACTCCTGTCCGCCAGGCTGCTCCATGGCCGCCGGCCCCTCGGGCGGCCCACGCCGGCCTCCTTACCCTTGAAGAAGTGAATCCACTGTGTCCGAGGCGAGTAGACCGCAGCGTCCAGGTTCCCGGGGAGCCCTTCCCAGAGGGCGGACACCCGGAACAAGGGACCCAGGCCGGAGTCTGTCACGGTCCACACGTAGCCCCCCTTAAAGGCGTAGGTCTTCCCCCGCGGCCCTGAAAGCAAAGGCAGGAAGTTTAAAAAAAGGTAAAATCTGGGCCTCCCTGGCGGCCAGCGGGTTGAAGCGCAGCGGCAGCCACAGCAGCTGCTGACATCTGCAGCCACGTTCTTTGTGCCCCAGCCGAGGCCTCCGGCCCCTGAAGTCTCACTCCCGGCTCTTCAGCCCCTACCCCGTGGCTCCCGTGAAAACTCGGCGCTACTCTTCATTGCCCAGATGAGAGGCCCCACAGCAGAGCTCCCGGGATGTAAATGGCGCGGGGGAGTTCCACCCCTGGCCAGGGGGTGACAGCAGCCCCCTCCTGTCTCCCCTGCTCCCCTCAGCAGTGGATTTCAGTGGGTCCACCTGTTCTGCTCCCGCTCTGTCTCTGGGGAATTCTTTCACACACACACACACACACACTCGCACCCCGCACCTCTAACCTGTACCCCAGTTCTGTGTGCACAAACAAATGCATCTTAAAAAAATTAAAAAAGCTTTAAAAAAATAAAATCAGGTCAATAAGGTCACTAAAGGCCTGTGGCGTCTCGCGGCGTCTCTGGCTCCTGTAGGCTTCATCCGTAACTGGAGAATACTAAGGACCCAACATTCAGTCTTTCCTTGGCTGGCAGAGCAACTTAACTATGGTCCACTCGACAGGGGTCCCACAGATAGCTGCCCCCCAAGCCGCACCCTCTACTCCCGGTGGCATCACAGGCGTCCTGCCCTCCACCTCCGTGTGTCACCTCCCCTCCCCGCCAATCCGGGTCACAAACTTCCTCCACCTTTCTGTATTTCCCGCTGTGTTTCCATTGTCCTCACAGAGCCTCCAGGGTACAGGCCGCCTGGCCCAGGCTTCCGACCTTCCCCCTCACCTGCGTCCTGCTTTGCCCAAGCCCTGCCCTGGTGTCAGGCCCCGCTGCGCAGGCCCACGGCAGTCTGGAGAAGGGCCTCACCCAGCATCATGGCATCCACCTCACCACTGCAAGGGTCCGGCATGGGGCTGGGCTCCGTGGGGACTGGGGGTACAGTGGGCAGCTCCGTCTCGTCTTCCTCATCCCCTGTTTCTGGGATCTTCTTGCCTGCAAGGCAATGTATTAAGGCTCAGGGAGGGAACTCAAAGGTCCGGACGCCCCAGTCTTCCAATGTCAGTTCTGCTCAGAGACCCCAGAGACGGGGGAGGGAGAATCCTGGAGTTTCCTTTGCTGGAAGGCAAGATCATATCATCCCAGCAGGAGACCTGAGCCAGTTTTGAGAGACTCCAGAAAGGGCAGCGGGCTAGATGTGCTGCTTTTATTTTTTCTTTTTTAAGATTTTGTTTATTTATTTTTGCATAGAAGCACTGGGGTGTAGGCCCGAGGTGCAGGGTGTGAGAGGAGAGACAGCAGAGACAGAGTGGGGAGCAGAACAGGCGGATGGATGAAGTCCACTGCTGAGGGGAGCAGCAGGGAGACAGGAGAGGTCTGCCGCGCCCTGGGGGTCACTCCCTGGCCGGGGATTGAACTCGGTCTTATCTGTGATAGTGCTGAGACTTAGCCCTACACATGCATTCTTCATCCGCAAGAACAGGTGTAAGGGGAGAGGGGCCGAAAGGAAGATTAAAAACAAAGGAGTCAGAAGGAAAGAGTTCCTGGGGCCTCCCTGGTGCACAAGGGGTTCAGTCTCGGCACGGTGGAGCGGTCACAGCCGCTGCAGCACCAGTTCCATCCCCGGCCAGGGAGGGACCCCCAGGGCGCAGCAGACCTCTTCAGTCCATCCGCCTGTCCTGCTCCCCGCTCTGTCTCTGGTGAGTTCTCTCACCCCCCACACCACTGGCCTGCACCCCGCTTCTTGTATGCATAAATAAATAAAATAAATCTAAAAGAAAACTGTTCCTTAAAATGAAGACGCCTGGCAAGCCAGGCACCAGGCAAAAGGAGAAACCAGGCCATCTCCCTCCGTGGACGTGACACCTGTTTCTTCCGCCTGAAATGGACGCTGGCCAGACTGACTCAGGCCGGCTCAGGGAAAGGACTGACCATAGAGAGCCTGGATCCCTGCCACGTCGTCCGGGTGTAGCCTGAAGTGAGGCCGGTAGCCAGCGTAGACAGGGGCCATGAGGGCCCGCGTGTAGCGGGAGTGCCCCAGCCCCAGGGCGTGGCCCAGCTCGTGGGCAGCGATGATGCGCAGGTTCACCCCGCGGTAGGTGCCCTCTGTCCAGAGCTCGTCCTCGTCGAAGTGCACACTGCCCAACTCAGGAATGTCGGCGTGAGCCAGCACCCTCCCTAGAGGAGAGCAGGAGGAGGTCGGAGAGGCGTCTGGAGAGGAGCAGCCCTGCCCCGCAGGCCCAGTGTGTCCCCGGAAAGTGCCCCACTGGGGTCTCCCTTAAGGCTCAGCACTGTGACGCTGTCCCACCCCCGGCCAGGGAGTGACCACAGGGCGCAGCAGGCCCCTCCTGTCTCCCCGCTGCTCCCCTCAGCGATCTGCCTGTTCTGCTCCCCACGCTGGCTCTGGGGAATCCTCTCAACCCCCCACCCAACCTCTGGCCTGCACCCCAGCTCTGTTCCAGAGGACAGCGACAACGTGTCTGACACAGGGGCCCCGAGCTGGCGCCTACCGGGCCCATCAAAGCTGTTGGAGCACTTCGGGCTTTGGCGGCCGTGGAAGGACAGACGGATGTCGGCCCTGCCGGCCTGCACCTCCTGGAAGGTCAGCGGGGCCACCTTGCTCCAGTACCCGAAGGCCTGGAGCAGGGCTGCCCGGGCTGTGCTGGCCGGGAGGGTGGAGGGCAGATTCAGGATGCGGAAAGTCAGGCGCTTCTTTCTCCAGCGGCCTGGCAATTAGACCAGAAGAGAGGTTTGCTGCAGACCCTCCTGCCCACCCCGGAGGGCTCCCGAGACCGGCAGTCTCTCAGCAGAGCACACCTCCCCGCAGGTGAGGCCTCGGACCCGCGAGCCATCGTCCACTCAGCCCGAGCTGCTGGGGGGGGCCATGTCCCCGGTCTCCAGAGCCACGCTCTGTTCCCTGCTCCCCCAGACTCCACCTCACCCAAAAGCAGGTATTTGTGGATCTTTTGGTTGAAGGGGTCCCCCAGGCCACAGCGGGGCTGTTTCATGCGTGCCCTCGTCGCCTCATCCAGCTGACCTGAGACCGGCAGCTCGGAAGCTTCCTGAAAGGCTCTGGAAAGAGGGGGAGGGTGGGTGGAGCAGGGTAAGCCAGTCTGGGGTGTTTGGGGACTGGGGCTGCTTCTTTGGTCCCCTGCTGCCCAAAGAGGTGCTGGGAGTGGCACAGAACCCCTGAAGCGGGGTCCCCCTGGAGCTATGAAGCTATGGCGGCCGGTGCAGGGCGAGTTGGCTGACCACAGGCCGTCCATCCGCCAGCTCTGTTCCCCAATCTGTCTCTGGTGGGTCCTCTCACCAGAGGACCCCGCACCTCTGGCCTACACCCCAGTTTTGTATGCACAAATAAATAAGGGGAGCAGTGGGCGAGACAGGAGAGGTCTGCTGTGCCCTGTGGTCCCTCCCTGGCCAGGGATGGAACTCGTGCTGCGGTGGCTGCGGACAGACTCATAGTGCTGCGCTTTAACCTGTTGAAAGAATCTCTCTCTCTGCAGCTAATGGGGTCACTGCAGGATCCAGTCCTCATAACTGAGTCCTGCCTGTCTGTGATGCAGAAACAGTGGTATTCCAATCTCACCTCCTCATCTCTCTCTCTGTTAAAAATTTTTTAAAAGATTTATTTATTGGCCCTCCCTGGTGGCGCAGCGGGTTAAAGCACAGCACTGAGAATCTAAAGCCGCTTCCGCATGAGTTCGATCCCCGCCTGCCCCGGAGGTGACCACATGGTGTGGCAGACCTCTCCTGACCCGCCAGCTGCTCCCCTCAGCAGTGGACTTCGTCGATCTGCCTGTTCTGCTCCCCGCTCTGTCTCTGGTGAGTCCTCTCAGCCCTGCACCTCTGGCCTGTACCCCAGTTTTTGTATGTATAAATGAATAGCAAAATCTTTAAAAATAAATAAGGTGAACATACCGATCACTGTCAACTTTCAGGTCTCCCTGACTGCTCTGAACTAGGAAAAAAAATAAAATCTAAGTATTTAAAAATAAACATTTATTTTTTAAGATTTTATTATTAATAAATAAAGATTTATTTATTGATGCATACAAGAATTGGGGTACAGGCCAGTGGTACAGGGGTGAGAGGATTCCCCAGAGACAGAGTGGGGAGCAGAACAGGCGGATCCACTGAAATCCACCGCTGAGGGGAGCAGCGGGGAGACAGGAGAGGGCTGCTGCGCCCTGGAGTCACCCCCTGGCCGGGGATGGAATGCCTGTGCCGCAGGGGCTGGTGATAACTTCACAGCACTGAGACTTCACCCCTTGCACCACCAGGGAGGCCCCCTTGTCCTCTTACTCGGGTAAGGTTCCCCGCGGGGGCAGCCTTACTCAGAGAAGGGGAGACAGTGTACCCTACTGCAGCGTCTAGCCTTCTCTTGCTTTAGAGAACTGTCCTGCTCCCCCTGGTTCTGCAGACCCCCCACCACTGCCCCGGCTAAGGGCCTGGCGGGCCCACCTTCTCCCTCTCGCTGGACGCCCTCCCAGCCCAGCACGCCCAGCACGCGGGGGCTGTTCCACCCCTCAGGCACTGAGGCACTGGGGCTTTGCAAGGGCTATGAAAACATCTGAGAGCAGAAAGAAAGAGGGTCCCTTAGGTCCAAAATATAAAAAGAGAACTTCAGAGAAAGAAATGCTGAAGAGATGTCTGTGCAAGTCAACATCTTGTCAACAGCTCTGCTGCAGCTCCACTCCCAGCTTCCGTCCAAAGTATGTGTCACACAGGATGTGACCAGATATTCGGGATTTGGACATGATGTGGGGTGCAGCCTCCAGAGCAACGCTGAGGACCCGCGAGCCCGGCACCGGGCTCCTGGCCTTGGAGTCCCCATCTGGCCCAAGCCCTGTCATCCCCTGCGACCCTGGTGTGGCGTGGGTCCGGCAGAGATGGCCTCCAGAAGGAAAGGAGACCTTGAAGTCGTGTGCCCTCTGACCTCTCACCTCAGAGCTTCTGTGATATCTTCTGTCCTGAAGTCTCTAGGTCTTTCTAGAGGTTTTTGTAGATACCCATATTGCAAAAGGTAATCCTATGGTGGGGTAAGGATAACAGATAAAAAGGCGACTCTGGTCAGTCACGGGGAGAGCCTGAGGGTGACCCAACTGCAGTGGAGGGATGGGGCCTGCGGAGAGTTACCTGAACTGGGGGGAGAGGGGAAGAGCTGGGCAGAGGCAGAGAAGGGAGGTGGACAGGCGGACAGGCTGCAGGGAGGAGGCTGGCTGGAACCCTGGAGAGCACCCCTGGGTCCCTGTTCCCTGGGAGGGGGAGCACTCACCATGGCTGCCTCTTTCTCTGCTGGCCCCAGGGCCCGGCCTGAGACTGTCATGGGCAGCAGAAAACCCAGCCACAGCCGCTGCCACTTCATGGCCCCCCAGGGAACGACTTGGACAGCGTCTGGCCCTGAGATTTCTGGCAGAGCAGGGGCGTGGGGGGCTGGCACCTCCAGTTCTTTTCACTTTCCAGCTCTGGTCCTCTTTATAAAACTTCAGCAGAAGACTTGGGGTGGGGGGGGAGTGGCAGCAGACGGTGACTCAGCCCAGAGATATGTTGCAACTCACCATTAACCCCTGCCTGCCCAGAGCAGAAGTCAAGACAAGCCCCTAGGCCAGTCCCAGAGTCCTCTGCTGGAGAGGGCCACTGCACAGGGGCCGCGGGTGGGCACCCTGGTAGGGCGAGGACTGCAGACATGAAGGGCACGCCCTGCACACTGCCTGCAGCTGGACGTTCCTGTGCCCGGGGCCCCGGGCCCACAAACCCCTCACCTTCAACTTACAGGTGTCCCTGACTGCTCTGAAATAGGAAAAATGTCAAATAAGAGCTAAGAGGCAGGAAGCAGCTGAGTTTCACGGAGAATGGAAAGTGAGTCTCACTTTATTTGTACCCAAGACAAAGTTGGGCATTTAAATGCTCTTGAAGTCTACTTGTTTCTGCTTTAGCAAAAGGCCTTTATTTCAAGTACTTCAAGAGCCTGCAATGTGGGGTTAACAAAGACACAGTGAAGTCAAAGGCCAGAGCCTACCAGAGCTTCCAAAAGGCTAAGGATGACCTGAAACCAGGATGCCAGGCAGAAGATGGCATCCTTAGGGTGCCAGGGCCGGGGAAGGCTGAGAAGCTGGCTTTGCGCTGGGCTTTGGAGGCTGCCTACCAGATGCCCGGGGTCAAGGAGTGCTGAGGGACAGACCGCTTCTGTGTCTGGTCAGGAGCCACAGAAGCCCCATCTTCTATGCACCTGTAGTATCCGCACACTGGCCGAATGCGCAGAGAGGACAGTTACTGAATTGCCATTCTCAGAAGGCTCCCAGCACCCACTCCCCACAGAGGAAAGCTTTATGCCCAAGACCCAGGAGGAGGCTATTGCTGGCTCACTCTGTTGCCCTCATGGTTCTCCTGATGAGCCGGGTTACAACCGGTGACTAAGTTCCAAATGACCAGTGACAGCCAAGGAGACAGAGTCACTGACTGCGAGACAGAGGTCACACAGAGACTGTCGCCAAGGCTGCTGCCCCAACCCAGGCTGTCACAGAGTTTGGGGACCAGCCCCTGCTGAGCCCACCTCTCTCACCAGCTCTTTCTCAGCCCTGTTTTTTTCTTTCCAAATTCCACCTGCTCCCCACAGTTCCTTCTTTTCTGTGAACATGACATGCAATTGAGAATTATAATTATTTTCTGATTGAAGTCTTTTTTTTTTCTGAATAAAAGCTATCCATTGCTCATTGCAGTGAATTTAGAAAATACTAAAATAGGGCCCTCCCCGATGGTACAATGGGTTAAAGCCCAGCACTATGAAGCAAGTCACTGCCGCCTCAGCGCAAGTTCAATCCCCAGCCAGGGAGGGACCCCCAGGGCACAGCAGACCTCTCCTGTGTCCCCGCTGCTCCCCTCAGCAGTGTGTTTCAATAGATCCGACTGTTCTGCTCCCCACTCTGCCTCTGGTGAGTCCTCTCACCACCTGGCACTATCTGGCCGGTTCCTCCCAGTTCTGTGTGCATAAATAAATAAATCATTTAAAAAAAAAAAAGAAAATGCTATAAAATAAGCAAAGAAGAAAATACCAGTGAATATCATGTGAATTCTACCCAGAGGAGACGCACTGCTAACACTGTGCTACCTTACTTGAAACTGTCTGTGGCTTTGAGTTCAGCTCTAGCTCAGACAGTCCAGCCTCAGCCCCTGGAGACCCAGACTGGGAGGAATAGAGAAGGGGTGGAAACAGTGAGATAATGGAGGAAGGAGAAGAGTTGAGGGTGGCGGGAGGAGGGGAGGGTTAGAGGCAAAAGAAAGAAATAAAACGAACGTGACCGCAGGTTTCTCCTTCGCTTAGCTAAGGCCACATAAGCAGGAAAAAAGAAACAACAGTCAGGATGATGTTTAGGAGTGTGTTAGTGTGTTCTGAGAGAGAGGGTGGTTGTATAAAAGGGAAAGAGGAGAAATGGGCCGTCTCTGGCGGTCAGCAGGTCAATGCTGGCCGCAGCCACTGCAGCACGAGTTTGATCCAGACCCCCTGCTCCCTGCTGCCCCCCCAGCGGTGGGTTTCAGTAGAGCGGTCTGTGCTGCTCCCCACTCTCTGGTGAGTCCTCTCACCCCCTGCACTTCTGGCCTGCACCCCAGTCCTAATGTGCATCAAGAAATAAAGTAAATATTTTTAAAAAATATCCCAACAACAACACCAACCGGCTTTTTACAGAAAACTGAGTCCTCAAGGGGTTGGCTTCCGGACACACAGCTAGAAGGAGGCAGAGACTCAGGCCCGTGTTATGATCTGTGTGCACTCTGCACCCCCTGAGTGTGTCCACAGTCACCCAAGCAAATCCCCAGAGCCAGGAGCGACTCCCTGTGCAGCCAAGGGGAAGAGCTCTGCCCCCATCAGTCCCAAGGCCAGTGCCTGCCCCCAGCCAGCCAGGCTGACCCAGGCTGTCCCCCTGATTGTCATCTCCCGAGGGGAGATGTGGCACTGGGCAAAAGGCTCGGACATGTGGTCTGCCTGACCCCAGAAGAGAACTTAACTGCAGACCAGTTTGTATAGAAATATTTTTACTTAAAATAGTTTTTTTTTTTAAAGATTTATTTATTTGTACATACAGAACTGGGGTACAGGCCAGAGGCTCAGGGGCAGTGAGAGGCTTCGCCAGAGACAGAGTGGGGGGCAGAACAGGCAGATCGACTAAGTACACTGTTGAGGGGAGCAGCGGGCGGGTCAGGAGAGGTCTGCCGCGCCATGTGGTCTCCTCTGGGGCAGGCGGGAATCGAACTCATGCGGAAGTGGCTTTAGCCTCTCAGTGCAGTGCTTTAACCCGCTGCGCCACCAGGGAGGGCCTAAAATAGTTTTTAAAGAGCGCCTCCCTGGTGGGCAACAGGTAAGGACACAGCACTGCAGGCTGGCGCAGCCTCAGTGTGAGGTCGACCCCGCCCGGGAGGTGACCCCCAGGGCGCGGCAGACCTCTCCTGACCTGCCCGCTGCTCCCCTCCGCAGTGTACCTCTTCAGTCGGCCTGTTCTGCTCCCCATTCACACCACCGGCACCTCTGGCCTGTACCCCAGTTCTGTATGCATAAATAAATGAATCTTTAAAAACAATAGTTGTAAATGAGCAGCAGGGACTAATTAAGACTGAGAATATTTCCCAGTGACCAGGGCTATAAGCCTGCAGATGGGAGATGAAAATATGTGGAACTCTGCACATGGAGGGGCCGGTCCTGTCTCCTCCCCCTCCTTCCTGAGACAGCTGCCCCAGCAGGGGGGTGTCCTCTGCTAGGACCAACCTGGGGCCTGAAACTGGAAGTTAGGGGTGAAGAAAACATAAATTGCAATCACATTAGGGCCACTGCTCTTGACCTTGACCTAGAGGAATGTGGCGTTAGCCTCTGGCTGTCTTTCCTCCAGGGGCTCGGTGTCAGGAGACAGGGACTTTTCCCTGGCTGAATGGGGTTGAGTTCTCCACGCTGTTGCCTTGGAAACTTCTGTTTTCAAGAGGGACCCCCCTGCCCCCATGCACGCACTCCTCTAATTAGTCATGAATTCCTAGAAGCCAGATGGTGAGGATGGCCAGGCTCGCCCACAGCTGGAGCTGGTTAGTGACTGGGGAGGGGGGCGGGGCTTGGGGTGCAGGGTCTGGCCGGCACATTTTGTTCCCAGGATGCCCCAAACTTCATCACCCCCGTCGTGAACATTTCCTGGCATTCTGCGTATCCACCGCACCTCGGCACACACCCACTCAGGCACTGCCTGAAATGACTCAGTTGAAAGCGCAGGCACGCCAGACCCGAGTCTGGCCAGTGTGAGGGGAGCGGGCAAGCCCCGCTCTCCGCACAGGTGGAGGTATCAGGCCACCTGGAAGCGTCTGCCAGTAATCCCCTTACCCAGTGCAGTGCGGGAGGGCGCAGCGAGGGGTAAATTCCAGCCTCTGGAACTGGGATGGAAGCAGAGACACAAGGAACTTAAGTGTCCTTTCCACACCTGGGATGATAGTGACATTATGGTGACAGAAGGGGTTCTTGCGCCTTCTGGAAATGGGAGCCTATCCCCTAAATAAACCAAACTAACCTTTATTACCTTTCCCAGGAAGTAGGTGTTGGCCCTCCCTGGTGGCGCAAGGACAATGAAGCTGTCTGCAGCCGCTGCAGCATTCCTTCGATCCCCAGCCAGGGAGGGACCCACGGGGTGCAGCAGACCTCTCCTGTCCCCCGCTGCTCCCCTCAGCAGTGTGTTTCAGTAGATCCACCTGTTCGGTTCCCTGCTCTGTCTCTGATGAATCCTCTCACCTGCACCCCAGCTCTTGTGTGCGTAAATAAATAAAACAAATCTTTAAAAAAATCAGATAGTGAGGGCAACTCGAATGGGTCCTTCTGACGAGGCAGAGTGCGTCCTGCAAATACAAGGAATGCGTATTAATAAACATGTGCTCACCTACCATTCATGGATCATCTACTGACTCTTAAACTTCTCTACAAAATGCCCCAGGGAGATCTGAAGATAAATGTCCAGAGGGGGAGAACACACCGTGGTCATTCCACCTCAGGGCATCTGTCCATCTTGCAATGATCCCTTCTCTGTCCCCCATCCTCAGAACTGTGGGACTGAGTGTTAGTGTGTTCACATGACTGGATTCAGGTGGGCAGTGGCCATTTTTCCCCTCTGAGGAGAGAGAACCCAAGGGCACCTTTATTAGGAAAGAGGCTGTCGAGAGCCATGCTACTCATGCTGCCTGACAGGGAGAGTGTGAGGGGGCCTGAAAGCAGGTTTCCCCACAGCTGGTCTCTGCTGGACAATTCTCATTTGTTTCTGGCTGTTTCCAAGAAATGTGATTGTCTGGAATATGCAAGCAATATAGAGTTAATAATTATTTTGTAATTGGCTGATTGAATCAATTTGATGACAATAATATTGTACAACAGAACGGCACAGTGTGTTGTGAAAATATTATGAACAATTGGAATTTCTCCACTTGACACTGGTAGAAATTGAGGCTTTAAGTCACAAGAGACACGTCACGTACCAAGAATTCTGGGAACCAAAAAAAGGGCTGTAATGATTTCCTGCCCGGTTCCCATGTAAAAGATCTATAGTTTTCTTTCAAGTAACGTTATTTCCTTAGTCTCCTTTTAAATGATAGAGTTATAAATAAGCTTTCCTATCCTTTTCTTTAACTTTCACCCTGACCTCCTTTTCCCATAAGAGAGATTTCTTAGATTAGATTAATAATAATCTAATAATCAGCAATCACATAGAGAAAGAAATTTCCTCCTAATTCTTCTCTTAGATATAGAGACTAGGTTGATTAAAGGGATAATGGATTACAGGGCCTCCCTTTAGTAGATCAAGAGAAGTGGTTTTCTTTAGGGGCAGGGAAATGTCAGTGCACAGAACGTTGATTTTTTTCCTGCTACTAGTTCCTTAACATCAAATCTTATGCTATTAAGATGTATGCTCATTATAAAGTTAACAGAATGACTCCTTAAGTAGTAATAGCTGACTGATCAACCTAAGGACATTTTGTTTATTAATTACACCCTTTATGGGAAATGATGAATGTTATAATTTCAGAAATAGAACAAAAAGATCCTGGACTTCTCTTAAGAAAAAATATGATGATTGTACAATGATTGTTATCTCTCTGCTTTGTGCACACACGGATGTAATCCCACCGCTTGCTTGTAATGTATAAATAAAGACCCGGTGAGACAATCAGCAGGAGACACTTGCACCCGATCGAGTGACTGTGTCTTCTCATTCTGCCTTGGCACAGACGCTGTTCCTGCGGGAACCCTGACGCGACCCTGGCCAGAGCTGGCCTTCAGCAAGGAGCCGAAGCAGAAAGCCAGAGGTGAGATAGACGAGAGACAGAACACACCTGGGGGCCAGGTTCATGGTCGCTCCTCTGCTGCTCCAGGAAGCCCAGTAGCATTACTGCTCTTGGTTATTCGTAACAAAGTGGGAGACTGAACAATGTCCCCCCAAACTGGCCCGTGTCCTGAGCCCCTGAACCTGTGACTGTTACCTCACATGGCCAAAGAGGCTTTGCAGTGGTGATTAAATCCTGACATGGGGGATTATCCTGGATTACGCCAGCAAGCTCAGAGTAATCACAGGCGTTCTCAGCACAGGAGGCAGGATCTCTGTGAGAGAAATGGGGTGACAGCGTGGGGGCCGGAAGGATATGACACCAGGAGCCCGGGGGGCGGGAGCCGGGCAGGAGCCGTAACTACTGGACAAGGCGGGAGACACAGCCTCTCGGGAGCCTCCACACAGCCTTGTGGACACTTTGATGTTAGCCCAGTAACTAATACTCGTTTGGAACCGACCTCAGTACCTGTAAGACAATAAATTTGTGAAATTTTATTTTAAGCGGCCAAACTACTCATGTATGGTAATTTGTAATAGGAAACTAATACAAACACTTGTATGACTTTTAAAAAAATATTTATTTGTGCACACAGAACTGGGGTACAGGCCAGAGGTGCAGGGGGAGAGGATTCCCCAGAGACACAGTGGGGAGCAGAACAGGCAGATGTAGAAGTACACTGCTGAGGGGGCAGCGGTGGGCAGGAGAGGTCTGCTGCTCCCTGTGGTCACTGGCTTCTTCACTGCACTTTAACCTTTGCGCCACCAGGGAGAGCCCTACATTGTACATTCTCTACCTCTTTTAAATAAGATCCAACTGGTTTCTAATGATCCCTGATTCATTTTAAAAAGACCCTGAAATATAATTTTAATCTGTAAAATTCAAACATATCACGAACATGTAGAAGAGTTTACAGATTTTTTTCCTCTATGATTTCATAAAGATGCAAGGGCCTCCTTGGTGGTGCAAGGGGTTAAAGTGCAGCACTGCAGAGCCTTACCCAGACTAGACTTGCTCCCCAGTCAAGGAGGGACCCCTCCTGTCTCCCTGCTGCTCCCCTCAGCAGTGGGTTTCACTATTCTGCTCCCCACTGTGTCTCTGGTGAGTCCTCCCATCCCCTGCCTGTACCCCAGTTCTTGTGTGCATAAATAAATCTTTATAAAAAAATAAAGACAAAATCAAAGCGTGCAGGACAGGTTGGGGAAGTGGGTGGCTACAGACGCTTCAGCTGGAAACTTAGTTGCTTTTGCAGTTGTCTGACAAGGAGTAACTGACTCCACCTAGGTAATGATAGATGACCAGAAAAGTCAACAGCCTCAGGCTTCTCTCGCTATATTCAGCTGGAAGCATCAGTGAGATGGGCAGGTTTCAGAATGACTGGGCTAGAGAAATATTGGCAGTTACGGGCATGGGCAATGACTGAAATCAGTTACTCACAGGAGTAAGTGAAGTCACTGGTGAGACTTGACTCCAGCAGAACCTTATAGATTTCTAAGATATTACAAGGCTTTTATTCAGCCTTCCAGACTCAGTCTCTGCCGGGTGTCATCCCTTCTGGGAAGCCTTTCCTCATCCCCACTTCCCTCTCACCCCCAGACTGGCTCCGTTCCAGCCTCAGCTTCCACAGCGGCCTGTGTGTGTCTCCCGTGTGTCTCCCGTAGAGTATGAATCACGTTCTACTGCTCTTCAGCGCTCACTTCTGTGTTGTTCTTGAGCTTTTTTGTTCAGTTTAATTTAAATCCATGACTATTTCGTCTTTCCCAAGGAGCCTTTAATAACTCCTCTCTCTGTTTTGCAGTCAGTTCTATTACCCCATTCAACCAGTTTACTCATTTTGGGGAAAAACCTCCATCCTTTCTTTCCCCCAGCTCAGCATTTCTTTGATCTCCTGGGGAGGATGGAATGTGTTCCTGATCTCTTCTCAAACTTGCAACACTAACAACTCATTAGATCTTCTCCACCCCAAATTCTCTACTGTCCTCAACTTATGGACTAGGAAACAGCTGGATAGGTTAGAGACATCCAGATACTCTCTCCTGGGAGGCCTGGGAGCCTGAAGGGGAAAGATCTGGCGAAATAAACTTAGTTCATTGCAAAACCAGCTGGTACCCAGGCATAACTTGCAAATATTGGCCCCTCACTGTACCTAGTGAACAAGAAGAAACTACCACAGCAGTTCTGAGCCCCAAGGATAAATGGCCAGTTCTAATGTTACTTACACATCAAGAAGGCGACATCTGCTAAGAGGAAAGAAATGCCCGATAAATAGTTAACACAGGCTTGGGAAGACAAAATGAAGTGAGGGCCACTTCACACTGACAGGAGCTCCAAGTGGAGAAGTAATTAAACTCTTTCTATGCTACCCATGAAACAGGCCAGAAAAAGAGTAACAGCTCAGTCTTCAGTATTGATCTCATTAGTGGCACTACGAAGCTGTCCGCAGCCGCTGCAGCAGGAGTTCAGTCCTCAGCCAGGGAGTGACCCCCAGGGTCAGGCCCCTCCTGTCTCCCCGCTGTTCCCCTCAGCAGTGGATTTTAGTAGCTCTGCTTGTTCTGCTCCCCACTCTGTCTCTGGTGAAGCCTCTCACCCCCTGCACCTCTAGCCTGCACCCCAACTTTTGTATGCATAAATAAAAAAAAAGAAATAGTAAGGTACAAAAGTCCCCTTTGCGAAGTAGGACAATGATGGCCCATGTAAATTAACATTTCGAATTGAATTTGCTTTAAGTTTCATTTTATTGTAACATTAATTTCTGTCAATGAAGTCTGAGCAGGGGGCCTCCCTGGTGGTGCAAGGGGTTAAACCACAGCATTATGGGGCTATCAGCAGCCACTGCAGCAGTTCGAGCCCTAGGCAGGGAGTGACCCACAGGGCACAGTATGTCCCTTGTCTACCTTGGTTTGCAGCAGTGTTTAAAGTACAGATTCTTTCAAAAATAAAAAGTACAGGGCCCTCCCTGGTGGCGCAACAGGTGAAAGCGCAGCACTATGAAGCTCTCCGAAGTTCCTGCAGCACAAGTTCACTCCCCTGCTGGGGAGCGACCCCCCAGGCCAGCAGACCTCTCCTGTCCAGCCCACTGCTCCCTCTGCGGCGGGGTTTCAGTACATCTGCCTGTTCTGCTCCCCACTCTGTCTCTGGGGAATCCTCTAGGGGGGGCCCCCCCACCTCTGGCCTGTACCCCAGTTCTTGTACTCACAAATAAACCTTAAAAATAAAAAAGAAATCTGAGCAAACTCACAGAAATCAGTGATGCTAATTTAGTCATACACTCAACATTTAAAAAAAAATTAAAGTTAGTGCTACTCCTAAACTTGCCTTCCTATACGAAATTGGAATGACTCCGAGCCAGGCACAGGATGTCTACTTGAGTTTATTCTGTTCTTTAAAAAAAAAAAAAAAAAAAAAAAAAAGGGAGATGAGGGCGATGGAGCGGGAAATAAACACTGGGTAGGAACCAAGACTCCAAGACTTGGGTGTGCGCCCCTGACCCTCAACCTCAGTTCGCCAAAATGCCCCCACCCACCCCACTCCCTTTTCAACAAGACACCCAAATCAGCAGCAAAGGTCCCTGGGGCAGTCACTGAGATTCTGAACACTGGGACCGGGAGGGGAACGTCCATAACACAGGCCACGGGGAGGGCCGGGCCGGGCCGGGCTCCGG